TATAATCCTTTTAATATACTGCTCAATTTGTTTTGCTGGTATTTTTTAGAGGCTTTTTGATCAGTGTTCATAGGGATATTGGGCTTTAGTTTTCTTTTCTAGTTGTGTATTTGTCTGACTTTGATATCAGGGTGATGCTGGCTGCAAAGAATGAGTTAGGAAGTGTTCCCGCCTCCTCAATTTTGCAGAAAAATTTGAGTGGGATTGGTGGTAGTTCTTCTTAAAATGTTTGGTAGAATTCAATAGTAAAGCCACCAGGTCCAGGGCATTTTTTGTTGGGAGATTTTTGATTACTTACTAAATATCCTTATTAATTAAAGATCCATCTAGATTTTCTATTTCTTTATGATTCAGTCTTGGTAGCTTTTTTGTTTCTAGGAATGTGTCCATTTCATCAATAGATTATTCAATTTATTGGCCTACAGTTGTTCACAGTACTCTCTTACAGTGCTTTTTATTTCTGTACAATCAGTAGTAATGTCCCCACTTTCATATCTGATGTTAGTAATTTGGTCTTTTTTTTTTTTTCTTAGACCATCTAGCTAAAAGTGTGTCAGCTTTGTTGATATTTTTGAAGAACCAACTTTTGGTTTAACTGATTTTCTCTAGTCTCCATTTCATTTTTCTCTACTCTATGTTATTTCCCTCGTTCTGCTAGCTTTAGGTTTAGTTTGCTCTTCTTTTTCTCATTCTTTAAGGTGTAGAGTTAGGTAATTGATTTGAGATCTGTTTTAACATAGGCATTTTTAGTTATAGACTTCTCTGTGAACACAACTTTTGCTGGATTCCATAAATTTTGATATATTGTGCTGTCGTTTTCATTCATCTTAAGCTATTTTCTACTCTCTCTTATGATTTCTTCTTTGACCCATTGGTTGTGAGAAAGTGTTGTTTAATTTCCACATATATCTGAATTTTCAGTTTTCATTCTGTTATTGATTTCTAGGTTGTAATGGACGAATATCCTGATCAGTATAAGCCAGTCCAGCATCGCTCACATGCACAGGCAGCATATCAGCTGCTTTATCTGGAAGTCCCACATGGAATTTAAAGGAGTTGAAGAATAATCCCCCTTCTCAGGTTAAAGGAAACTTTTCAGTAGTTTCTTGATGTTGCTCTATCCCCATTGAACTACCTTCTTGGTCACCAGAGGTCTTGGAGGTGCCTTCTGTTGTCCCAGCATAACTTTTCCCTTGGAGCATCCCTGACACAAGTGTCCATAGCTCGGACCAGATGAAATCCAAGCTTGGTGCAGTGTCAGCATCCAGCCCCAGCCTCTCCTTTATTTTTATTTTAGACATTTACATATAGCAATAACTGCTGGATTGTATATTAGCCTGTTTCTTAGGGTTGTTTCTTTTTTTTTTTAATTTACTTACATATCCAATGAGACAGCTCCTTGGAGGTTAACTCCATCATTTCCAAATTCCATAGATAACTTCTACCTCCAGTAACTGATCATAGTGAAGGTGTGCATCATAAAACAAGCGATGCAGAAACCATTCAGGAATGAAGGTTAATCAACCACCCCCTCATTCTTCCTTTTCCCAAACTATGCCTTCACTACCTTCCAGTGAGTTGGGGTTATTCTAGTGAATGCCACTTCTTTTTTTCCTTTTTTGCTGAGGAAGATCTGCCTTGAGCTAACGTCCATTGCCAATCCTCCTCTTTTTTTTGCTTGAGGAAGATTAGCCGTGAGTAATATCTGTGCCAATCTTCCTCTATTTTTTTTTTGTATGTGAGACACTGCTACAGCATGGCTGGTGAATGCAGTAGGTCCGTGCCCGGGATTCATACCGACAAACTTGGGCCTCTGAAGTGGAGTGCACGGAACTTGAACCACTCGACCGTTGAGCTGGGCCTGTGAATGCCACTTTTGAAGCCAACTGTGTCAGGGGTCACCAAGACCATCCTAGATTCAATGATTTACTGGAGGACTCACAGACTTCAGAAATGCTGTTGTGTTCATGGTTATTCTCTTTGTCTGTTCTAGATGCATGAACACAATATCATAGAATGTGTGGCTTATAAACAACAAACACTTATTCCTCACAGTTCTGGATTCTGGAAGTCCAAAATCATGGCTCTGGCAGATTTGGTGTCTGGTGAGGGCCCACTTTCTGGTTCCTAGATGGTCAACTTTTCACTATGTCCTCACCTGGCAGAAGGGTCAAGGGATCTCTCTGGGTTCTCTTTTATAAGGGCACCAATCCCCTTCATGAGGACTCCATCCTGATGACTTAATCACCTCCCAAAGGCCCCACTAACAAATAACATCACACTGGGCATTAGGTTTAAAGATGTGAATTTGGGGGGACACAGACATACCATCTATAGCAGCTATGGTTTATTGCAGTGAAATGATACAGATTAAATCAGCAAAGGTAAAAGACACATAGGACAGACAGACACACACACAGGAGAGCATGGCTCAGGTTTCCATTTGTCCTCTTCCAGGGGAGTCATAGGGGCAGTGTTTAATTCCCCAGCAACAATGAGTGACACAGGAACAGAATATTGCCAGTCGGGGAAGCACAAATGAGTCTCAGTGTCCAGGGATTTTACTGGATTGATGTCATAGGGACGGAGCACCTGTGTGGCTGACAAAAGTAACTATGTCTCCAGCCCCTCCAGTGGCCAGACTGGTACAGGGAGATGCAGGGTCCCCACCACATGTCACATTGTTAGCGTGAATGATCTGGCACTTCCTGAGGCTTCAGGAAAACAAAGCCATGGTTATCCAGCAGAGTGTTCTCAGAGACTAAAAGTCATTTCCTAGGAGCTCGTCAGGGCCAGTCACTGCTTTACAAGGCACAGGATTTGAACCTTCCAAACCTGCTGACTTTACCCTTTACTGGAAGGGACTCACTCAGCCTGGATGCCCACACTCCGGACCCAACTCCACCCACCCCACCACGGCCCAGCATTTCAGCCAGCACTAATAGGTCTGCAGCCCCACTTCATCTACAACACTCCAAAAGGTGGGGAACTCAGGGATGGCAGGGAAGTATTGTGCCAGGTTAATACCCAGGCTCAGTCTTCAGCTGCAAGAGCCCTCCTCGGGATGCCTGACAGCAGTCCAGGAGTGAGCATTTTCCAGAATCTCAGTCACCCCAAGATTGGTGGGTCCCGCATTCCCAGCCACTCAGGAGTGCTCACATCTGGGTGCCTCCCCGGTAGGCACTGCCTCACAGCCAGGCTGGAACTGGACGAGGACACTGATCTGGGCTCCAACACAGAACACCATCCTCAGATTGGCCAGGTCAGTTTGGGCTGTCAGTAGGCTTGCCCAGGGACAGGGAATGAGCCCTGTGGGCTGTAGGCATGCCTTTGTGACAGAAGTCAAACGGGGACCCATGTGACAGAAGGATGGACAGAGGAGAAGGAGACCACATGGGGATCTTGAAGGAGGACACCCTGGCTGTCATCCTTGTTCTGCCACAACACTCTGTGACCCCTGGGCCAGTCCCTCCCTGCCCTGGGCTTCTGTTTCCCCTTTAGCAATGAGATCATATACCAGATGGCCACTGGTTTCTGTCTTCCCGCTCTGATTCTGGGTCTGGGACCTTGTTAGCCTGGAGCCCTGGCTGAGGGCAGGGACTGCCATACTGCACCTGTACCCATCCTCACAAGTGACTGTCTCTTTACTGACCACATGTGCAGTGCCCAAGGGTTTCTAATGACTGTCTGCTTACCCGAGGCATGGGCAGACCCCCTGGTGCATTTAGGTAACAGCACGGGGACCAAAGACTCTCAGGGCAGAGGCAGCCCCACCAGGCCTCTCTTGCCAGAGGAGCGTCATCCAACAGGAAAAAAAAGAAATTATTGGAAACTGTCTTGACAGTGGAGTTGCTGGACAGAGACTCCATTTCAGCTAATTCAATATGTTCACAGGACTTAAAGAAACCATGTCTAAAGAACTAGAGGGAAGTGGGAGAATGATGTCTTAGCAGTTAAAGCATATCCATAATGAGATAGAAAGTATAAGTAGAAACCAAGCTGAAATTCTGGAGTTGAAAAGTACAGTAACTGAAATGAAGCTCACTGCAGGAACTCAAAAGCAGACTTGAACAGGTAGAAGAAAAGTCAGCTAACATGAGGACAGTCAGCTGAGCTGATCCAGGCCGAGGAACAGGAACAAGGATGAAGAAGAATGAGCAGAGATTCAGAAACCTGTGGGCACCATCAAGGATACCACACACACGTTAACAGGAGTCCTAAGAGAAGAAGAGAGAGATAAAGGACTAGAAGGAATATTGAAGAAATGTTGAAAACTGAATACGCCCCAAATTTGATGAAAAACGTTAATCTACTCAACCAAGAAGCTCAGTGAACCCCAAGTAGGATAAAATCAGAGATCTGCACCGGCACACACCACAATCAAACCATCAAAAGACAAAGAGAGAATTTTGACAGCAGCAAGAAAGATGGGAGATGCTCCTTATCATGAACAAAGGATCCGTGCTCAATAACTTGGACATAAGAGTTCTAATCAGAAACCATAGAGGACAGAAAGCAGTGGGATGACAACATCCCTCAGGAAGTGACTGGAGGATGTCACAAGCTCGGGAAAGGGCCTCTGGGCTCCACCAATTATTCAGTCAGGGTAAATTGGGAACCCACAGAACAACCCTTTTGCCACGGGGCACCCAGATTTAATCTTGCCAAGGCTACACCAGAGTCTAGGAATCTGGGCTGTGCTGTAAGCCCTGTGAGGACCCTGAGCCCAGCAGAGAGCGGCCTCCACCAGAAGAGGCCCCGCCCAGGCATCCACGGGCCTCGCTGAGAACCAGGGCACTTGGGGCTAGGTCTGCGTGTGTGTGTGTGTCTGTGTGCACGCGCGCACACGCCTGAGAATCTGTGCATGTTGATTGCAGGAGTGAGTTTGTTCATGTGAGTGTTGTCTGAGTGTGGGTGGCTTTGTGGATGAGTAGATTTCTGCGTGGTGGGTCTGTATGTGGTGTGTGTGTGTGTGTGTGTGTGTGTGTGTGTGTGTGAGCATGAGGGTAAAAGCAGAGGCCCTGTACCCATAAACCATCTCTGGGAGGCGGGCCGTGCCCAGCTCCCCTCCTGCCGTGGTTCGCTCCTCGGCCGGGACTCTCGCGCCCTCCGGCGCCCAGCTTCGGAACTGCAGCTACGGCCGCCCTGCCGGGGCTTCCTCCTGGATCCCAGCGCTGCGCTGGGCGGGTCCGCGCTGCGAGTCAGGTGAGGCGGCCAGGCCCGCGGCCCCACAAGCTGCACGCAGCTTCCACTCTTCCTTTCTGTCCCCAGGGAGGAGCGGGAATTGGGGGGTTTCCTCCGCGGGCGCTCCATAAAGCAGGGGTGGGGCAAGGCGAGCCAAATGCCACCAACTGGCCCAGCGCCCTGGCTGGGACTGCAGCTGCCTATCTGCTGTCTAGGGCTCTCTCCCAGGGTTTGCTCCACATCACTAGGGACTCAGGGCCGTGTCTAGGTGCTTGGGGGTCTGGGAGCTTCCTGCTACGCCATTGTGCTGACGTCACCCCTGGTCTCTAAGTCTCAGACCACAGTTTCCAGAGGACCCTTCCCTGCGCAGGTGGACACCTGTGACATGCATGGTCCTTGTGGTGCTCCCCCTTCTACCACAGCACCTTCACCAGAGCAGAATCCCAAGGAGGGTGGCTGAGTGTATTTCTAAAATAAGAAATCTCAGTAACTTACATGTAGAGCAGCAGCTCAGAGCATGCGTTTTGAGATGGACCCGAATGCTGCTCTTTGACTTTGACCTCCTGACCTGACCCCTGAGACTCAGTCTCCTCCATGCCTTGGGGACCATAAAGCCACCTGCCTTACAGGGCTGTGGGGAGGACACGTGGAGTGAGCAGCAGAGCCTGGCACGTGAGTGCCTGATCAATGGAAGCTGCAATTGCACAATGATTGCAAAGGCCATCAGCCTCACAATTGTACTGTGTGCTCATTGTACTCACGAGGTTTCCTCAAGGCCCCCCCTCCTGGACAACAGGCTCCGAGTATGGGGGGCTCTGCCTGATTTACATGCTAATCTGACCCTGCGCTTCATACCTCATTAGGGTGACTGCTTGGGAGGGCATGACACATCCAAAGCAAAGGGTGGATAAAGACAGTTTGTCCAGGGCCACTGTGTGACCAACACTTGGATCATCCTGCCCCCGCCTGACACCACCTGATTCTCTGACAGTCCTGGGTAGAGAGTTGCTGCCCACAGGACAGGACATTCAACTGAGGCCAAGGAGAGGCCACCGGCTGGATACGGGAAGTCTCCAGCGTGCCCATGAGTCTTGGTCTCCTGGTCTGTAGAGTGGCCTCAAAGCTAGTCTTCCTGCCTCCTGGAGGGCCAGGGACCCCAATTGCCTCCAGCCCAGTCCTTGGCCAGATTTGCAAAGCTGCTTCCCTGCCCCTGCCCCTCACCCTCCTGGACTTTGCAGTGGCCCTTTGTTCTGTTGCCAGGACACCTTTGCTTGCAGTGCCAAGCCAGCCAAAGTCCTCCAGGAAGTCTCTGAAAGTGCTGATCCAGGCTGGGGCAGTATCCCCACCACCCTCTAAGCAGTCCCAGCACTGCTGGCCTGGCCTGTCAGCTCTCTGTCTTCCCACTCCTTCTCTTGGTCACGAGCACCGTGGAGCAGGGACCCACTATCATCTTCCTGCCAGGCTGCAAGTGCCCAGCCCAGCACCCAGCACACGGTCGTCCAGTGGGGTTGGAACAGAAATCAAGCCCTGAGCAAGGCATGATGCAGAGAAGGCTGGGTAAACTGAGGAAGGCCCTGCTGTGTCCCAGCAAGCTACACCCTCTGGCCCCAGGCCTGGAGGGGAGTGGGGATGTGGGAATTCAGGAGAGGACCAGTTTTCACAAGCAGGAACTGGAAACGTTGAAAGCCAATACCAAGAGGCCACAGCCCCGGGGAGCCATCTCTGGGTGGCCTTCTCTGAGTGGGAGTGTCCAGAGGCATCCTGGGAAGAAGCTGGTCCTCTTACTGTTGGGGAGTGAGTGAGGGAGAGAACTGGGGGGACACGGAGGTCGGGAGTACCTCCTGCAGACCCTGCTTCTGCTGGGGGAAAGAATTCGCCAGCTGTTTCCAGAATGAGAGCTTGCTTCAATACCCCTGAGCTGGGTCAAAGGGCCTGACCCCTACCCAGGAAATGTCCCTTCCCCACCCTCTGGGCTCCTTCCCCTTCCCATTTGAGTGAGTTTTGGGCTCAGAGTTCCCGTCAGCTTCACCGATTTAAAAACTCATCAAATCCGATCACTTTTCTTATTGAAGAAGGAGGATGCTGAGGCTGGTGGGCAGTGGTCCTGCCCTGGCATGGTGTGGTGCCTCCCCTGTTGGATGCTGAGTGAGAGGCTGAGCAACAGGGAGGGCCTGGTAGCAATAATTCCAGCCACACAGTGACAGCCCTGGTGTGGGGTGGTGCCAAGGCTTTCGTCTTTCCTTGAGGGACCAGAGTCTGGGTTGTAAGGGATGGGGCTGGAGCAGGGGAGACCTGGCCCAGGGAGAGGGAGGAGGCTGGCAAAGGGGGAGGCCAGAGAATCCATTCCTTGTGGTCCTCAGCAGGCCTCTGAGGGTGTAAAGAAACTACATCATCTCCACTTGCTTTCCATCCCCTTGTCTTCTAGAAAGAGTTTGAGCAGCTGATGTTCAAGGACAAATGATAATGAGGAGGGACTGATCAAGATGGCGGCACAGGCAGACTCTGAGCTCACCTCCTCCCGTGGACACAGCCAATTTACAACTACTTGTGGAAAAATTACCCCTGAGACAGAGCTGAAAACTGGATAAGAGGAACTCCTGCAACAACGGACAATCCTAACTGAGGTGGAAGAGGCAGAAGCTCCCTTCTGGAGAGAAAAAATGCCGCCTTTACAAGCCGCAGCGCTTCACTGTTGCCTGGGAGCAGCCCACAGGTACGCAGCCCTTCCTGGAGGCGCGGGGCCCTGAGCCGGGGAGCGCCCCCGCTGTGGGCATTTTGTGGACCCAGCACAATCGAGATGAGTGGCATAATATCTGACTTTGCCTGCTACTAAAACATTGGGGAGCACCCCCAGAAAAGCTGGTTCACAAAGAGATTAAAACCGGCTCTTAAAGGGCCCATGCGCAAGCTCACCCGTTTCAGAGAGCAACCTGAGATGGCCAGAAGGAAAGGTGCACAGTGCTTTGGTGAAAGGAGACTCACCTAATAGGCCCTGTGTGCATCTCGGTGAGAGATGAGACCTCTCCAGGGACTGGGACATTGCCGGCGGCCATTGTTGTGGCCTGGTGTGTGCATGCTGACACAGACTCCGTTGGAGTTCTCCCTGGGGCCTGCTAGCCCAGGGTCTGCCCCACCCACTAGAGCACCCATTTAATCCAGCTCAGCCAGGGCAGGCAGCCCACCCTAGAGACGGGCCCCACCCAATAACAGGCCCTCAGGCAACTTGTGGGCCTGCATAGATTGGTGACTGGATTCTCTGCAGCCTGGCAACTGAGCCAACTGCAGTGGGGCAGGGCGTGCACAAGGAGCGGGTGGAGAGTGTGGGGCAGTGGTGGAGTGTGTGGGGCTCCCGCTGTGGAAAGACTGGGTCCACTTCGGGAGGTTGGGGCACGCACATGGGGCAGGACTGTGTTGACTATTTGTGTGGACCTGTGGGCGGCAGGGCTTGTCAGCTACAGAAGACTTGTGCTTCTCAAAGACCCACATAGGGGGTTTGCCCCACCTCCCAAAGCCTGAAAAGGGGGTGCTCCCGTGCCTGAGGCCAGCCCCACCCAGCAGCAATCCTCAGAGAGCTGACAAGAGACCTAAAGACTGGAGGCTTATAGCAATTGTAAGGCCCTGAGCCTAACAACCTGCCACGCTGGGGGCCTACTCACTTAAAAGAAATACTGCAACACAAAAGTGGTATTAGAACTTGCAGCCAACTGTGCTGGGGCTCCCCACACCTGATAAAGAGAGTGAAGGGCCCACAACAACTATAAGCAGCTGAGCATTACAACAGTTGGCTAGGAACATAACTCGGCCTCCCTGGGCGCCTACAGGGAGAACAAACAGGCCACAACAGAAGGACACACGTAGCCCACATGGGGTCACCCCTGGAACATTGAGAACTGAGGGAAGCACACAGCAGGCCTCCTAAGCCATCACTTATATAAGGTCACCTATCCAAGAGCAGGAGACATAGCTGACCTACCTAATACGTAGTCACAAGCACAGGGAAAGAGGCAAAATGAGGAGGCAAAGGAATACATTTCAAGTAAGGGAACAGGACAAAACCCCAGAAAAGGAACTAAGTGAAACAGAA